TGAGCCACCGTGCCCAGCAACATCCATGGCTTTTTTGCAAACAGCACTTCTGGAGTCACCGGCACCAGTATAGGAAAAGGAGTATCTTGGTCCCAGCAGCCCGGGCCCTCCCCCTCAGATCTCCCAGAGGGGGTCATATCTCCCGACTTCTCATTTCCTCTGTTTATCCCCTAGGCGGTTCAGCCAGGAGATAACAGAAGGTTTTGGAAGCCCCAGAAATGTTATGCTAAGGAGTGTATTTCTAGGCAGAAGATCCATTGCTCTTGTCAATTTCCTCTGGATTTGCCAGCCAAGAAGGGATTTTAGGAAAGAAACTTTCTCACAATGCAACTGCCAGACCCATTTGTCATGATCTTTATTTCTTTTGTTCAGCTCACCCTTGAGACCCCATTCCCCCCAACCTCCCCTCACATAGTTTCTTGCTTTGCTTTTTTTTTTAGTTTATTTTAAATTTTAATTGTGGTAAAGTATACATGGCATGAAGTGTACCATTTTAACCATTTTAAAGTGCAGAGGTCAGTGGTATTAAGTACATTCACACTGTTGTGCAACCATTACCACCCTCCAGCTCCAAAATTTTCTCAGTTTGCAAAACTGAAACTGTCCCCATGAAACACTCACTCCGAATCCTCCTCCTCAGCCCCTAGTACCCACCATTCTACTTTCTGCCTTTATTAATTGGATGACTCTAGGGATCTCATATAAGTGGAATTACACAGTGTTTGTCTTTTTGTGTCTGGCTTTTTTTTTTTTGAGACAGAGTTTCACTCATGTTACCCAGGCTGGATTGCAATGGCGCGATCTCGGCCCACCGCAACCTCTGCCTCCTGGGTTCAGGCAATTCTCCTGCCTCAGCCTCCTGAGTAGCTGGGATTACAGGCACGCACCACCATGCCCAGCTCATTTTTTTGGATTTTCAGTAGAGACGGGGTTTCACCATGTTGACCAGGATGGTCTCGATCTCTTGACCTCGTGATCCACCCGCCTTGGCCTCCCAAAGTGCTGGGATTACAGGCTTGAGCCACCGCGCCCAGCCTGTGTCTGGCTTTTTGAGACGGAGTCTCTGTCACCAGGCTGGAGTGCAGTGGTGCAATCTAAGCTCACTGCAACCTCTGCCTCCTGGGTTCACATGATTCTCCTGCCTCAGCCTCCCTAGTAGCTAGGATTACAGGCACATGCCACCATAGCCAGCTAACTTTTGTATTTTTAGTAGAGACGGGGTTTCACCATGTTGGCCAAGATGGTCTTGATCTCCCAACCTCGTGATCTGCCCACCTCGGCCTCTCAAAGTCCTGGGATTACAGGCGTGAGCCATTGCGCCCGGCCCTGCCTGTTTCTGGCTTATTTTACAAACACATCTTCATCCACCTTGTAGCATGTGTCAGAATTTCCTTTCTTTTCTTTTTTTTTTTTGAGACTGAGTTTTGCTCTTGTTGTCCAGGCTGGAGTGCAGTGGTGCCACCTCAGCTCACTGTAACCTCTGCCTCCCAAGTTCAAGTGATTCTCCTGCCTCAGCCTTCCAAGTAGCAGGGATTATAGGCACACACCACCATGATTGGCTAAATTTTGTATTTTTAGTAGAGATGGTGTTTCACTATGTTGGCCAGGCTGGTCTGGAACTCCTGATCTCAGGTAACCCACCCACCTAGGCCTCCCAAAGTGCTGAGATTACAGGTGTGAGCCACTGCATCCAGTCAGAATTTTCTTCCTTTTTAAGGCCTATAATCCCAGCATTTTGCGAGGCTGAGGCAAGAGAATCATTTGAGCCCAGGAGTTTCAGACCAGCCTAGGTAATATAGTGAGACCCTCATCTCTAGAAAAAAAAAAAATTCACGCCTGTAATCTCAGCACTTTGGGAGGCCGAGGAGGGCAAATCACGAGGTCAAGAGATCAAGACCATCCTGGCCAACATGGTGAAACCCCGTCTCTACTAAAAATACAAAGAAAAATTAGCCAGGCATGGTGGTGCACCCCTATAATTCCAGCTACTCAGGAGGCTGAGGTGGAATAATTGCTTGAACTGGGAGGTGGAGGTTGCAGTGAGCTGAGATCGCGCCACTGCACTCCAGCCTGGAGACAGAGCAAGACTCCATCTCACAAAAACAAAAACAAAAACAAAAAAATTGGCTGGGTGTAGTGGCATGTGCCTGTAGTCCCAGCTATTTGGGAGACTAAAATGGGAAGATTGCTTGAGCCCAGGAGGTCAAAGCTGTGATGAGCCATGATCACATACATCACTGCTGCGCTCCAGCCTGGCAGACAGAGATCCTGTCTCAAAACAACAACAAAAAAAATTGTGGCCTGGGCATGGTGGCTCACACCTATAATCCCCTCACTTTGGGAGGCCTAGGTGGGTGGATCGTCTGAGGTCAGGCTTTCAAGACCAGCCTGGCCAACATAGTGAAAACCTGCCTCTACTAAAAATTTAAAAATTAGCTGGGCGTGGTGGTGGGTGCCTGTAATCCCAGCTACTCAGGAGACTGAGGCAGGAGAATCGCTTGAACCTGGGAGACGGAGGTTACAATGAGCCGAAGTCGCACCACTGCACTCCAGCCTAGGGGACAGAGCAAGACTCTATCTCAAAAAAAAAAAAAATTGGGGTTGTACGATGGACCACGTTTTGTTTATTAATTCTTCTATCTAAGAACACTTGTGCTGTTTTCACTTTTTATCTATTGTGAATAATGGCTGCTATGAATATGTATGGGCAAATATCTGTGCTAGAACCTGCTTTCAATTCTTTTTTTTTTTTTTTGAGATAGAGTTTCACTCTTATTGCCCAGGCTTATTGTAGTGCAATGTCATGATCTTGGCTCACTGCAACCTCCGTCTCTCGGGTTCAAGCGATTCTCCTGCCTCAGCCTCCCGAGTAGCTGGGATTACAGGCATGTGCCACCATACCCGGCTAATTTTGTATTTTTAGTAGAGATGAGGTTTCTCCATGTTGGTCAGGCTGGTCTCAAACTCCTGACCTCAGGTGATCCACCCATCTCAGCCTCCCAAAGTGCTGGGATTACAGGCGTGAGCCACTGAGCCCGGCCCTGCTTTCAGTTCTTTTGGGGATATATCCAGGAGTGGAATTGCTGATATAGTAATACTATTTTTAATTTTTTGAGGAACTGACATTCTGTTTCCCGCAGCAGCTGCACCGTTTTACATTCTCAGCAAGGGTACACAAGGATTCCAATTTCTCTACGTCTTGGTCAACACTTGTTATTTTCCAGGTTGGTTGGCTGGTTGGTTGGTTTTGGACAGTAGCCATCCTCATGGCTGTGAAGTGGTTCTCACTTTGCTTTTTTGGAAGGGAGGTGGGTGGGTGGCATTTTTCCACAGGAGCCTTTGCACCTATCGGGCTCCAGTTGCCCAATCTTGCCTGGCTTATCTCTGGGACACCTCCTGGCAGCTGATAAGAGAGGGCTATCTTTAGCCGCCGTGGTTTAGGAAGGTTGGGAACCTGCCAAGGTCACAGGTAAGCTGCAGCAACAGAAATGGAACCTGAGGCTTTATCCCTTCTTGATTTCACTGTGCATCTTTGTTATTCGCTGCCTTTAGCCACAGCAAAGGTGAGTCCTGTGACAAGATCACACAGCTGGTTATAGAAGGCATGGTCTTAGACACCAAAGGGTGACACACACCCGTAGTCCCGACTACTGTGGAGGTTGAAATGGAAAGATCACCTGAGCCACTGCACTTCAGCCTGAGGGACAGAGCAAGACCCCGTCTCAAAAAAAAAAAAAAAAAAAAAAAAAAAAAAAGAGAGAGAGAGAGAGAGAAAAGAAAAAAGCCATAATGAGATGTTCTTCAGGTGGTAGCACATAAAAAATGATACCAATCTGGGCGCGGTGGCTCACGCTTGTAATCCCAACACTTTGGGAGGCCGAGGCGGCCGAACTAGGTCAGGAGTTCAAGACCACCCTGGCCAACATAGTGAAACCCTGTATCTACTAAAAATACAAAAAATTAAGTATTTTTTTGTGGTGTGTGCCTGCAATCCCAGGTACTCGGGAGGCTGATGTAGGAGAATCACTTGAACCTGGAAGGCAGAGGTTGTAGTGAGCCAAGGTGGCACCACTGCAGTGATCTTTTTTTTGTTAGTTTTGTTTTTTCTGAGACAGGCTGGTCTCAAACCCCAGGGCTCAAGCAATCCTCCTGCCTCAGCCTCCCAAAGACCTGAAACTACAAGTGTGAGCTACTGCATCCAGCTGCGTGCTAGGATTCTGTTTCATTAAACAACTATATAGCACCTGCTGAATACCAGGCACTATCTTCATTTAATCCTCATGCCAGGTGGGCTAGGTGGCTTATGCCTGTAATCCCAGCACTTTGGAAGGTGAAGGTGGGAGGATTGCTGGAGGCCAGGAGGTCGAGGCTGCAATGAGCTATGATTGTGACACTGTACTTCAGCCTGGACCACAGAGCAATACCCTGCCCCCCACCCAAAAAAAGGTAATAAGAAGAATCCTCACGGCAACCCTGACATGGGCACTAGTATGACCCTGTCTTACTAAGGAGGAAAGTACCGAACAGAGGGGTGAAGTCTGCCTAGGATAACACAGCTAGTAGGTGGCAACGCTGGGATTCGAATCCAGTAAATCTGGCTGCAGACGCCATTCTGCTATGCAGCCTGTCATAGAATCTACTCATTCTTTATGCTTATTGTGTGTATCCCACGCACACACTGTAGGATGTAAGTTCCTAGAGAAGCTGCTCTCTGTTTTGCCTTTAGAACTCCGCCCTCTACAGAGAAGGCGCTCGACCTAAGGAGAAATAAACAGCATCTTTCCACCCCGCGCAGACGCATCGGGCGGGATAACGGAGACTCCCCCTTCTTGCGCCGATTGGTCATCTCGGATGACTGACGGATTATTGCGCGCAGGCGCACCAGGCCAGACCCAACGCGGCTTCCCCCATTCTGAGACGCCGTTCCCTATGCCTATTGGCCATTGCTTACGACTGACGTAGAAAAAAGCCAATGGAAAGCAAACCCTCTGGGAAGAGGGCAGACCCCTCGGGCAGTCAAATTTTGCGCGGGCTGGGGACTGCGGTAGTCATGGCCGCCTTCCGCGATATGGAGGAGGTGAGCCAGGGGCTGCTCAGCCTGCTGGGCACCAACCGCGCCGAGGCTCAGCAGCGACGGCTGTTGGGGCACCACGAGCAGGTGGTGGAGCGGCTGTTGGAGACGCAAGACGGTGCCGAGACGCAGCTGCATGGTGAGGGCCAGAGCGCGGGCGCGGGCCGGCGGGGTACAGGGCCCGGGTGCTGGTAGGCGGCGACAAGGCCGACCTCTAAACCCCTTCTCTACTGGACTCTCCTATCTCCTGCCCTATTCCCCTGAGACGGCCCCCTCTGAGCCTTAGTTTACCTCTCTGAGAAATCAGCTTTATGACAGCAACCATCCCCTGCGCCCCAGGGGTTTAGTGGTAAATATAGGATCACGGAGGGGTTGATCCCTTCTGAGCGCTCCGTGACCAGGAGCTGGGGGTCTCAGGCTTAGGAGTCAAAGCGCCCGGTTTGAATCCCAGCACCCATCCTCACGTCCTCTGTGAGACTTGAGGTGAGTTTCTTAACTTCTCTGTGCCTCAGCTTCCTTCCCTGTCAAATGGTTGTGAAAATAGCCCACCCCTTCTTCCTGAGAAGAATGCACTAGCATTCAGATGTTTCATGGAGCACCTGCTGCCGCCAGGCCCTGGGTGGCAGCAGGGAACAAAACAGACAAAATTTTTGCCTTAGGGGACTGACATGCATGCTAGTGCCTGGGAGAGGGAGCAGGATTAACAAGAGAAATCCATTTGTCGGTCTCGCCCGGTGGCTCACACCTGCAATCCCAGCACTTTGGGAGGCCGAGGCAGGTGGATCACAAGGAGGAAAACTAGGTTGTGTAGGCGGAGTGGTGAAGTTTTGGGGAAAGCCTTCTGTGAAGATGATGTTTGAGCAGAAGCCTGAAGGAGGCCTCACACCTGTAACTCCAGCACTTTGGGAGGAAAGGTAGGAGGATTGTTTCAGACCAGGAGTTGGAGACCAGCCTGGGCAACTTGCTGATAGCTCATCTCTACTGAAAATAAAAAAGTATTATCCCGGCCTGGTGGTTCCCATTTGTAATCCCAGCTACTTGGGAGGCTGAGGTGCAAGAATCATTTGAGCCCAGAAGTTGGAGATTGTAATGAGCTGCACTCCACCACCAGCCTAGGCAACAGAGCAAGATAATATCTCTTAAAAAGTAACCTGGGGCCAGGTGTTGTGGCTTACACCTGTAATCCCAGCATTTTGGGAGGCCAAGGTGGGTGGATCACCTGAGGTCAGGAGTTCAAGACCAGCCTGGCCAATATGGCGAAACCCCGTCTCTACTAAAAATACAAAAATTAGCGGGATGTGGTGGCGGGCACCTGCAATCCCAGCTACTTGGGAGGCTGAGGCAGGAGAATCACTTGAACCCGGAGGTGGAGGTCTTAGTGAGCTGAGATCATGCCATTGCACTACAGACTGGGCGACAAGAGCGAAATTCCATCTCAAAAGAAAAAAAAAGGGGGGGACCATTTTCTTTTTTTTCTTTTTTTTTTT